ATCATTGACTGTCAGGACTTTAACTTATACCAATATTAAACCGGCCAGCAATAAGCGATTGGAAGTCAACTTTAGTGAAGAGCGAGTGCTACTGAAAACAGGCTTCAGCGGCTGTTGAACGGCTGCTGCCGGCAGTCAACAAAAACGACCGGCCGACGTCAGCCAGTGGTCAGTACTTGACGACGAAATACGTGCATAAGATACGGCAGTAGAACGCTCACCAGGACGAATAATAGCCGTTTAGTCCAAGGAGATGGAAAGTCCGTTCAACTGGACGACATTCTGCAACATCACTTAACTCTGTTCTTGAATGGGATGATTTGTCACCTGCTGATGATTAAGCGCGGGAGCTCATACGTAAATTTGTATCTCGCAGCTTCTGCCGCCCTACTCATTCAGATATAAACTAACCTGCAAACAGTCTTTTACAGAATGAGAGCGGTGTAATATGCGTGAAATCTGCTCTTCAATGAGTGATTCGTTATTTGATGCACTCGGGCGTACGAACGGTTTGTGGTATACATATATACCGTGTATTTGTAGGTTAATTTCGATATATGAGCAATTCTTGTACAGTGCACTCAGTTTGTCCGTTGTATGCATATATGAATACAAAAATTCATTCAGTAAAAAAGCTGCGGTATTATTTCGTAACTGGCTTTCGCTGCGGCAGAGAACAATAGCTCAAGTTACATTACGTATCGCTAAGTTCTAAAACTGAAATGTCTTTGCAATTTTTAGTGTGAATGTACTTGTTTTTTTACCATTTCGGAATATAAAAACTAAAAACATAATAATGCATCTGAAAAAGCAGAGCGTCACAAAACTTTTCTCGGTCATTTAGTCGCTTAGCTTCTTTCAGACGTTATGCTGAAATAAACACTGATCATCGTCAATAAATTCAAGCAGATGTTTTATTCCGTTGTTTTCTTGTTGGCAATTCCAGTAGCGAAGGCGACTAACTCTTATCGGCAGCAAGCATCAAAAATACCATACCTGCAGATCAAAATACAGTAATTTTGACGAACGGAGAGAGCATACCAATGTGCAGGTACATTTGTGACATTCACTGCTATAAACGGCAAAAACTGTTCAAATCTAGCATCATAGGCTGTCTGTTTAAAGATGGGTGGAAAAAATTTAACTATCATCAAATGGCATAATTTTCTTTTTGTACATTACAACTTTTTTAAATAGGTAACCTTGCACTGACCATTGACGCATCGGAGAACAATAAAAAACATGGAAACACTTCGTTGATAGAATTAAAAATAATAATATAAATAGGCGGCGTACCTTGTGCTGGTTATTACTGGAAAGTCAGCTATCAAAAGGAAAACAATCACAAAGGCGGCGGCGTCGGAGAGCACGGTCTTACATCTCGTACCACAGTACAATGCTATCCTTATTATTTGCATTTTCGGCTTACTGCGCCGAGCATGAAGTTAATACTTTGTTGAGGAGAATGTTGCCCTTCGGCAGATTCGAACCGGGCATCTCCACAGTTCCGAGCCTACATATTTGCTACTGCGTCACAGAGCCGCAAGTTGCGGCAGACCTGCTCACAAGAAAGAAACCGTGACCTTCGCCGCAGCTCAGAAAACGTTGCCTAATGCTGCTAATTAGAAGTACCATTTCTAATGGTCGGACAAGATAAATCTGAGTTACTCTATAGTATAAGGTCTGTTAATCTTAGATGGCGATGACGAAAAACAAAGATCGATAACTCTGAATCTTAAAAATGAGCATAAAACTGGAAAAGGTATCTGAAAATCTAAAAAACACCTAAAAATTCGAGAAATTACACATA